TGTCAAAATCTCCTAATTTTGTCTCCTAAATGTCAAAATCTTTATAGAGCCGCAGCATTCAAAATTTGGGTTATGTTGTGCGTATTAAAGGAGCTTACTCACGGTATTTTGAGTTATTTTGGCTACATACAAAAATATTGCCTTTAAATAGTAGGAAACCTGAAAAACACCAACGAGATAATGATAAACCATAAAGGAACAAGGATGGCTAAGGATGGAGAGGATTTTAAAACACCGATTACAAACGACGAATTTGAAAAACTGAGGCTAAACTTTTCAATACGCGCAAACCTTGACTGAGCTCCTTTAAATTTACACATTCTCGTCAGACAGTCCTCGTTGCTAAGGATGTTAGCTATTCAAATTTTTCGCCGAGGTCTTGACGGGAACTCTTTTGAAAATTTATTTAGCTTTTAATGCTGGAACATGCCCTCGGTTAAAGTTTTTTATTTAGTGTTATTATCAGGACTGGTCCTGTATTTTCTTCTTTATAGCTTTCTAGTCAGGAAATTACCAGCGATGCCCGTAGTGAAAATTTATTTCGAAGATGAACCACCGATAACTGATGTATATTCACAACAATACCTCGCACACGAGAAGTCAATGGATTTCGAAAATGGCAAAATAGAGGAAAGCAATCATTTAGCCCCTCCGCAAGCACAGGAATTTTATTTTGAAAGAGAAGAAAAGCCGTCCACCGAAATTGCAAACGAAAGAGAGCACACGGCTAAAAGAGACATATTGCTGTCCTTCCTCGATGGGCTTGGAATACCCGTAAACAAGGAGGAAATGCCTGTTGCAGACATTTCAAGAAACACTCCACCATTAGTTAACCCGAGTGGAGTTTCGTTACGAAAATTAATGAAGAAATTTGACGAAGATTTGAGCCTCGAAGCCGACAAATCTTGCCCTATTAGTCACTTAGATGAAGGTACGTTTACAAAGTTTCCCTCCTAGATTTTGAGGTACTTCTGAATACGAAATTACCGCGCACAACTCTTCAAGCTGCATTACTAGTATTCCAGAACTGTTATTGATCGTGGCGCTTGCACTAAAGTCTTTTTTTATTAACTTAGTTATGCTAATGTTGCTTTATTCCTGAAACGACCATCAACAGAGCAGGATCTATGCTATACTGATTCATAATTGACCATAATTCGTAGATAACAAATAGTGAATTTCATTTTGTCAGTTATTTGGCTAAAAGTTTGACCGAAAAACACAAACAGAGAAAGATGTCAAAAGGTCGCACGTGCTTTTTCTTGCTGCTTTCTGATTGGCTAGCAGATTTGCCGCGGAAACCAATCCAACAAGGTACGAAACAAGCTAGTCAACAACGGAGTTGCAGTTTGCTTATTCGTTGAATGACGAGAACGCCTGATCGCATGTTAGTCAGTGAGTTAATGTGATTATTTCTTTTCAGTTGGTTTGCTAGAAGTTAACAATAGCTCAGTTAGGCTTGAGGAAGTGGAAAGTGAGCTGGCGTTTGTCAAGAAAGGTGGACAATGGAGACCTGATTGTGTGCCAAGAAACAAGGTAGAAAAACAATACGCGCGAAAGTTCAGTTTTTTTGTTTCAATGAACTCAAGATAGAGATTTACGGACCTAAAGGCGCGACTCAATGCTAAGAAATATATTCTACAATTTATTTTAGGTGGCAATAGTTGTTCCTTTCAGAGATCGTAGCGAGCACCTTTACATTTTCTTGAGACACATGCATCAGTTCCTCAGATGGCAGATATTAGAATACAGAATCTTTGTCATAGAACAGGTAACACAAGCTCTGACTCGCGTATCTTTTGGTTTTTGTTTGATTATTACGTTGGTGACTTGTGCGCGCTTTTTTTGTGTTTATTACGTTAGTGACTTGTGTGTACTTTGGTTTGTGTTTATTACGTAAGCGACTTCTGTGCGCTTTGCTTTGTATTTGAGTGAGGTCGTTACGGGAAAATCTCAAACTGAGCGAGGTCAATACGGTAGGCCGAGGTTTGAGATTTTCCCGTAACGACCAAACGGTCGAGGTTATTCAGTTGTTTATTATATGGCTCATGAAAGAAAAGAAAAGAAAAATTATTCGAGCGCAAGTCATCAATTTACATCCGGCGATGTGCGCGTTTACTGATTCACTCCTCGTCTCAAACCAAGGGCAAAACTACACATTCAGCGAACTTCACCACTGTATTACGTATTCAGTTAAAAAAAAAAAACATACATTTCGTTATGGGAAAAATGATTTTCACAGCCTCAAAAACGTATTTTGGTATCGTGGTGCCACAACTTGATGGGGGAGTTTTTCCGACTTTTGAGGCGAAACCTCAACGCATAGAAAAGACAGAAAGTGCTTCAAAACAGTCCAAACAAACGGTCTTTCGGTGAAAGAACATACTAATGCTTCAGAATGCACTGCATGCTCAGAATAACTCGATCTTCACATTCGCTTTCGACAACATATCTTCGCCTTCTTCATTCTGGGATTTATGGATGAACTTTTCAAGCCTTGTGAACGTCTAAAACTTTCTGCAGTTATCAAATTAAAAGCACTGCTGCCGACAGAAACCGCCCGAATAGATGTTTACATGTGATGATCCTGGAAGCTGACTTACACTTGCTTGTGTTAAAGCGAGGGAATCTATTTGATGAGAACTGTGACGGAGTTCGATATTTCGGTAATTGTTGTGATTAAGATGATAACTTATAAGTTTCTTCGTGGTGTTCCGCTCAGGATGCATGACAGATCTGCCGATGGTGTTTTTCACTTAGCGATTTTAGCTTTACTTAGACTCGGCAAACTTTGATTGTTTTTCACTAGTGCCCGCCAAGGTCACCGACTTCTATATAAATTTTATTAAGGAAAAATCTCTAAACTTCTAGCTATTTGGAATTAAATTTACTTTCTCTTACTGTTTTTAATCGGCTTTCACCGTTTCATTATGCGCTTAAATTTTCAGAGCTGGGCTCCTCCTAATCTGCATAATCCGTAATTGGCCCCTGGGCATTAGGGCTGCTTAATGACCGTTCAGATCTCGCTTTTAGCCAATCAGAACACACGTTATGTCGTCCACAAGCAAAAGCCATATAATAATGGATTTTATTATATGGCCAGCTGCATGAGTGGGTAAGATGAATCAAATCCTGCGCTGTGATTGGCTACATAAGCGGGCAAGATAGAGCCATCTTGCCCGCTCGGGACTACTCGCCATGTCCCGCAAGAAAAACTTCTCCGAAAGTCATCTAATAAATCCTTTATTGACCAACCCTGTTTCCTCAAAATGCCTGGATATTGGCCACATTATTTTTTTACGTGTTTCTGGACCTCGATTCCGTCTCGGTCAATAAAAACGCAAAAAAAACTTCGCCAATATCCAGCCATCTTGACCTCACACTTGGTCAATAACCCACATATGATTTGTGACTTAAAATCATCTCATTACACTCTTATCATTTGTCGGTTACAAACATCTCATTACAATCCAAAAATTTGTGGGTTACAATCATCTCATTACAATCCAATAATTTGTGGGTTACAATCATCTCATTACAATCCAATAATTTGTGGGTTACAATCATCTCATTACAATCCAATAGTTTGTGGGTTACAATCAACTTATTACAATCCAATAGTTTGTGGGTTACAATCATCTGATTGCAATCCAATAATTTGTGGGTTACAATCAACATATTACAATTCAATAATTTGTTGGTTACAATCAACACATTCCTTATCATAATTTGTGGGTTACAATCAACTCATTACAATCCAATAATTTGTGGGTTACAATCAACACATTACAATACAATAATTTGTGGGTTACAATGAAGTCATTACAATTCATTAATTTGTGGGTTGCAAGCAACTCATTACAATCCAATAATTTGTGGATTACAATCAACACATGACAATCCAATAATTTGTGGGTTACAATTAGCTTATTTATAGAATCGAATAATTTGTGGGTTAGAACCATCTGATTACAATCGAATAATTTGTGGGTTACAATCAACACATTACAATTCAATAGTTTGTGGGTTTTCATCAAGTCATTACAATCCAATAATTTGTGGTGTACAATCAACACATTACAATCCAATAATTTTGGCGGCCATACTCCAAATAATAGGTTGACAGAGACATGCAGCCTTGGTTTACCGTGTACTTCTTTGATATTGGACATTCATGATATGATCAATTGACACGTGTCAAGACAAGGTATCCGCTGACCAGTATCGCGTGACCATATCACGGGCTCAAGTTTGCAGCTTTTCGAGGTTTCGTGTTTTTTTGAAGTTGACCGCTGACCAAGTGCTGGTTTTTAGTGCAGAGTGCACTATTGGGATGGTTATGGGGGTTGCCTGCCGCTAAGGAACTAAGGCGCTATGGCCCTATGGCGCTAAGGTGTAAACT